CCCCAAAACCCCAAAACCCCAAAACCCCAAAACCCCAGAGTTTATAGGCTCAATAGAATATTCTTAATTAAATATGAAATCTTTTGAAATCTCTCAGCATGAGCAAGACAAGCCTGACATCAAGCAAGACAAGAATATGGTTGTTGGTAAGCTTGGAGATTTTGGTATCTTCTAAAATTATGGTGGAGCAGAATTTTAAATCTCATTTTAACTTTGCTCAAATGCAAAAATGTAAGTGTAACTTAACATAGGAACCATTCTTACAATTATTGCTCTCATTGCAGGCTCAGCTATAGTTCCATTGGTTGATGAGTATAAGGGAGTACCATTTATTTTGAGAAGCATCTGGAGATGACAGCTGCTAGTGCTTTATTGCCTCCCCCTCGGAGCTTACTTTTACTATATAAATAGGAAAACTATTGACTTATCTAAGGTCTTCACATGGGAGACGCTGATTGAATTTTTGTGTTCAGCAATTTTTTGGACTACTGCGTCAAGCATGCTTCTATTCAGCTCAGATTTTACTCTTGTGTCGCATGCAACGATCCTTGCAAACCTTGGAGGAATATTCATCATTAGTTTGCATCTTGTTAGAGGAGCTCCTGTGCATCAGTTCGAACTCATCGGGGCAATTATTGCAATAATCTCAGTGATTATTTGGTAAGCTTATTATTTAACCATAGTATCAATGACGGAAACTCGACGAAGACAAACGGTCAAACAAACATTTTGTTAGGTGATATCATGGGTTTGATTTGCTCTCCTTTATATGGGTTGTACTATGTTGTGAGTGCTAGATTGTTAAAGAAGCTCCCCTCTATATGTATTATTGAGGTAAGTTTTACTATCCAGTTCTTTATCACTTCTGCTTTCTATATTTTATTCTATGATATTAAAGATTTTTATTCCTTTGATATTCAATATGGGATTCTTGGATGGGCATCAAGTGAGTACTTGTTATACTCCTTGACTGCTATTGGTGTTATTACAGGAGTGCTTGGAATTGGAGGATATGTGTTCACATTGAATTATTTCCCTCCACATATTGTTGGAACAATTTATCTTCTTGAACCTGTGGTCGGCCAAATTCTTGGAATAATTCTTGGACAAGACAACATGCCAGGTATCTTTACATATGTTGGAACTTTCGGTATAATGGCTGGGCTCGTTCTCTCGATCAAAGGTGATCTCATGAAAGCGCCTAAAGCCTCTAAACTGCAAGATAAAGACTCAGAAAAGGGTTTATCGATGATGCATACTCCATCCAAAGAATCGATTGGCTCAGAAAATTCATCACTAGAAATGATGCTGAAATAAACCACTCGTTTCAATCCTCAATATCTAATTTGGGGTTTTGGGGTTTTGGGGTTTTGGGGTTTTGGGG